CGCACGGGGACCCCGCCGCCGCCGCCGCCACCTCCTCCAAAGTCGTGACCGGTGAGTGGGGGCGCGGGGGCGCGGTCCGGTGCCAGGAGCAGCGCAACGCCTTCCCAGCAAATCCCCTCCCTTAGTCAGCCCCGCACCCCGAGGCTCACTCCTGTAACCGGCTACTCAGGAGGCTGAGATCTGAGGATCAGGGTTCGAGGCCAGCCCAGGCAAGGACAGTCTATGAGACGCTGATCTCCAGTGAACCACCAGAAAATTGGACATGGCGCTGTGGCTCAAGTGGTAGAGCGCCCGCCTTGAGCTGAAGAGCTGAGGGACAGCACCCAGGCCCAGAGTGCAAACCCCAGGACCAGCAAAAAAAAAAAAAAAAAAGAAGTCTGGAGTGTGCAGAGCCGGCGGCTCCGGGAGGGCAGGGCCTGGGGGCACAGCGCCAGCCTCTGGCTGCACCGGAGGAGGACGAAGGTTCCCCATCCCCCCCGGGGCTGGGGGTGAAGGGTAGATTTTAGTGGCTACTTCAAGGAGTGCTAGAACATGACTGTCGAATTTGATGACTTAAAACATATTTCCCTCCCAGAAACCGGACTTCACTACTTAAAGATGAGTAGATGTTGCAGTGTGGTTTAAAGTGGTCACTGGAGCCCACCTCCCCCCCCCCAGCCACCTCCTGGCGATCTTGGCCACCTGGTTGTACATTGTTGTAGTGGAGGCTTGCCCAGAGAAGCCACAACACACCCTGGACCCCACCACCTTCCCAAGGGGCTTCTCAGTGGCACCTGAGCCGGTGACACCCCCCACCCCCAACTGGTACCCCAGGAGTAGTATAGGTGAAGTTACCATTGACCAACACTTTCCCCCCAGGAATAGAATTCTTATATTTTGCACCTCAAAATGGTTGATAACTATTCTTCAGACACGAGAGCATATGTCTTGAAACCCACAAAACCACATTGTTCTGTTTGCTTGTTTGTTTCCCCATAGATGCCCTACCTAGCGTCCCCACAGGTGGGGAAGGTTTCCAGGACTAAGGCCTAAGGTCTGTAACCTCCCTGCCCCCCTCCCCAAGCAGCTTGATCCGCAGCTCCAAATGCTCCTGCTTAGCTGCGATCCCTGTGTGTGCTTTTGACTCCGCCCCAGGATGGCCTTGACCCCAAGCTGGGCCAGTTGCAGGCCATCCATTCTGTGACTTGTGGATGCTGCTTTGTCTGATTTCCGGAAGTGGATGTCAGATAACATAGTAGGGCCCTTCACAAGCGTTCTGACTGCCTCAGTGCCTCTTACCTTGATTGATGGACTCGTCAGTGTCCAACAAAAGGAGGACTAAGTGTAGCAGAGTGTCTTCTGTGTCTCGAGCTTTAATTTTTAATTTTTGAACCTTAAGCGCAAGTTAACTGCATGGAGCTTCTTAATTGGTGTCTGAACTTCTCAGGAACCCTCCCCACCCCATGATCCTACCCTGAATTCCTTTCAATCCCTTTTGCACTCTACCATGATGAGGGTTGGCTTTCTCAAAAGACTGTATGAGCTTTTTAAAAGGCACTCTGAGCTGGATGCCCGTGGCTCAGCCCTAGCACACAGCACTGACAGGAAAGTCCCTGAGCCTCTTAGCTCAAATTAATCACCAAAGACCTGGAAGTGGAGCTGTGGCTCAGGTGGTAGAGTACAAGCCTTGAGTGAAAAAAGCCGAAGGACACCTCCTATGTGCTGAGTTCAAGCCCCAGAGTCAGCGTGCATTGCACGCACGTGGGCACCTGCACGCGCGCGCACGCACACACACACACACGACACTCTGAGGCTCCTCCAGTTCTGCCTTCGGCCTGCAGTGGGCCAGCAAAAAGCTCTCATTCTGTGTATGGCCGCTCTATTGGAGCCATAAGCCTTTGGCGGACCATGTCACAGCCCAGACTTGGTGTTGACAGCAGGAGGAAAGAAGATCGCAGCTGAAAACACAGAGAGGCCCAGGCCTGTCTCTCCCTCCCTCCTTCCTGAGAAACCAGGAGAGCAGCAGGACAGCGGGGATGGAAATCATTTATAGAGTCCAGTGACTAAACCTTGATCAGGGCCGAGCCTTTCAACGCTTCAGTGCCGTGACACACCGAAGTCTAAAGCCTAGGCCGTAACTTTTATTTAGATGGAAGACTCCAAGCCAGAATCATGCCGGTCCCAGAACACTGTCAGGACCTGGAGTGTGTGTATGCCAGAAGGCTATTTAGTTTGATCTGTAGCAGTAGTTATTAAATATGTGAACTTTTACTGTTAAAAATGTTTTTCCCCTTAAGGTAGTAACTAATTATTGAAAAGCTAGTCTGTACTAAGAATTCTCTAACACAAGAAATTCCGAAATCACCGTTATTACCTCCTTATTACAGAACTAACCTGTAAAGCCTTTAAGTCCCTGCACCTCTGTGGGAAGTTCGCCAAAGGCCAGCATTTAGAACTTACAAATGCACTAGTGTTGGTCCTGTTGCTATTAACCATTAGCCCCACAGTGTCCAGAAGAAAAGGGAAATAGGTCCCTTAGGGCAGCCCTTTATGATGACATCATATTTCACCTGGAAGGCTAGACACATGAATTCCTGAAAAACAGGTATTCACTAGAAGCCTTTAATCTTGAAGAGTCGAATCAAGCCAGCCACCCACGGTACATGCCCACAATCCTAGTTACTCAGGAAGCTGAGTTCTGAGGATCGCAATTCAAAGCCAGCTCAGGTAGGAAAGTCTGTGAGACTTATCTCCACCAAAAAGCCACAAGTACCTCAAGTAATAGAGTGCTAGCCTTGAATGAAAACACTAAGAGACAGTGTCCAGGACCCAAGCCCTAGTACTGGCTCAAAAAGAAAGAGAAAGAGTTATATCAAGGCTTGTTGGGATTAAGGTAAAGTCTTAGGAGAGGTGGCTGGTTCTGAGCAGTTTGGTAGCCACCTGCAGCGCCATAGCTGAGCCTGAGGAAGGCTGAAGCTCTTGTGCCGTTTCGGAAAGCAGCAGTTTATGCCCTGCTGTTTTCAAAGTAGAGGTTGTAGCAAAGAATATTCTAATGGAAACGTTTTATTAAATAATTTAGATGTATGACCTGCCTTATTCAGTCAGAACTGAAATTGGAATGTTTAATGGTAAGGACAAGGCACCTGATTGGCCAAAGCGTTACTGCTACTTTGTGATCATACTCGTGCACTAATACTTGTCACTAACCCATCACCCTCACCTGCCTGCTTACATCCCAACTAATAGTGCATGCACTAAAGACTGGCTTCGCTCACGCTTGCTCACCTGTTCTCAGTACTAAGGGTGGTCACAGTGACCCCAGCGCTTTTGTCCAGTGGGCTTGAGTTAGAACTTCAGCTCTCTGAAATGACAGGCGTGGGTCTGAAAACATGATGTCTCGCAACACTGAGGACATGGCATTGTCAGCACCAGCTGCAGTTGATGGTAGATTGGTGGTCTAATGCACGGTACTTACTACACTTACCCTGAGGAAAATACTTCAGTAAGAGTTACACATTAGATTCCTGTGTCTACCTTTTAAACATTTACATGCCCAGACCCCACCCTCTAGCACCCAGAGCTAGGAGGCGGCCCAAAGTAGCAGGGCCAAGTGCCCATTTCTTGGTTCTGATGCCCTCTTTGGTTTTCCTGGCTTCACTTGTTGGAATGACAGCACTGTAGAGTTGGAGATTCTTTTCTTTTTTGTGTGTGTGCCAGTCCTCGGGCTTGAACTCAGGATCTGAGTGCTGTCCCTGAGTTTCTTTTGCTCAAAGCTAGGTACGCTACCACTTGAGCCACAGCACCACTTCTGTCTTTTAAAGTCAGACTCTCTTTGTGTCAGGAAAGTAAAGCGGTTTTAAGAAGAAAGCATGGAGATTAAAGGGAACTTGAGAAGTAGAATAATAAAAAGTCATACTTCTATACTCGTAGAAGTAGAAGCCTATTAATAGTCCACATTTTAAAATTTTCTACTTTTATTTTTCTGAAGCCAAGGAGGTACATGATCATAATTATGTGGCCCAAACAAGTTCTAATCCTGAAGTTTTTTTTAATTTATTTTAATTTACTTATTTATTTCGGTACCCATCCTAGGGCTTGAACTCAGGACCTGGGCACTGTTGCTGAGCATTTTTTTGTTCAAGACTAGCACTCTCCCACTTGAACCACAATCCCACTTTGGGTTTTTGGTGGTTAAGTGGAGATAAGAATTTGACAGACTTTCAGGCTGGGAAGGTGGCTCAGTAGTATAGTATTTGCCTTGCATACATGAGGTCCTGGGTTCGATTCTCCAGCGCCACATTAGCAGAAAAAGCCAGAAGTGGTGCTGTGGCTCAAGTGGTAGGGCACTGTCCTTGAGCTGAAGAGCTAAGGGACAGCCCAGAGTTCAGGCCTTAGAGCTCAGCCTCCTGAGTTGTTCAGATTACAGGTGTTGAACCGCTGGCACCTGGCTCTGAACCTGAATTTTTTTACTTCACATCCCATACCTTTTCCGTGTGGTAATGCAGTTTCTATAGCCATTTCTTTTCAGTGACTACATACGATTTCATCAGTTATTATTACTTGTAGTTGGATGTTTAAGTGGCTTCCCCTTCTGTTTGCAGTTTACTCTTATGTCAAGTCAGACCTCCAGCCACACTTGAACAGAATTTCTCCTTTGAGTTGAGCAATGCAAAGTCCCTTGAAGGCTAGGACAATGCTTAGTCTTGGAAAAGCACTAGTGAAGCTAAAGGAAGCTGTACCCTCCGCTGGAGGGTTCGGGCAGGGCTCCTTCATTCCGATGCCTTTAACTTTAAGGGTGTTTGCATCTGTCACTTACCCATGTTGCTATCAGAATGATAGCCTGCCATGGCCTACCTGCACCTGTAATCCTAGCTACTCGGGAGGCTGAGATCTGAGGATCACACTTTGAAGCCAGTCATGAGACACTTATCTCCAGTTAACCATCAAAAAGCCAGAAGTAGGAGTTGTGGCTCTAGTTGTAGAGCACTAGCCTTGAGCAAATGAGTCTCAGGGACAGCACCCAGGCCCTGAGTTCAAGCCCCAGGACTGGCATGCACACACATAAACACACAAAAAGAGGAGCAAAAGAGTTCTAGATGGCCTTCTCCAATACCCTTTTCCTCTCTTACTATGGTAAGCCTCGCGCCCTTCTCTCCTCAGATGGGGGGAGCAATGTCTCCATCAACGACTCACCCCAGGACTCACAGTTGGTTTAGAGGACTAAGAGCTAGTGTCCAGATCAGGCTGGCATCGACCTTCTTATGGCCCTCTCTCTACAGTGGGGCTGGGGCTCAGTGGGCTGATCTCCTGGGATTTATGGGGGTGGCCATGATTGATGACACAAGTGGGCCTTAGCAAGCCTCTAGTCACAGGACATGCCCAGGAGCATTAGCTGTCCCGTCACAGATTAGCTAACTCTAGAAGTGAGACCACAAATCGAGAACTTCAGGGAAGACGAGGGCTGACCTGTGCTGGATGGGGAAGGGAAGAGCCAGTGTGTCCTCTGGAGGGGGGCGGGGCGATAGATGTCACCTGCATGTGGACGCAGACACCAGCCATTGCAACCCCCCCCCAGTGGCTCACACAGGTCCTGGCAGCTTGCATGCCCTGCCAGGTCGCCGCAGTTCCGCGGTCGAAGACACTGACCGCTGCCACACGTGTGCCGTGGGATGGGGATGGTGGGAAAGGGTTGAACTCACAAACAGTTTTCTTGTTCCAGCATTGCCTTTGAGTCAGGCCACGCCTTTGTCTGAGGCCCTAAGAAGGGAGGAGTGGGAAGATGGCTGCCCCAGACCTCCAGCCACCCGACTGGCCACAGAGTTTACCAAGCGCCGGCTAAGCAGCCAGCTGTGGTTCTAAGCACTCGGGGTTTGGCCATGAACAAAGCAGATGTGCCCTACCCCTTGCTCACTTTCCTTCTGCCAAGAGCAAATCTGGGGCATTTCTTGATTCTGTGCACACGGGCCGCCCTTGGGCTGGCCTGCCAGCCCTGCTCTCCCGACGTTCCTGAAATGTCCTTCTTCACCTCAGCCCTGGGACACCTTGATGTGTCCATAAACCTAGGGATGTGTCCATAGACCTTGCATTGTGGGGCCGGTCTGCCATCCCTCAAGCAGGGACAGGAAGAGGGACTAGGAGGAGAGGGACGCCCAGGGGGAACGCAGCTCTCCCAGCTCAGAACTGCGGGCTCGGGAGCACGCGTGGGACCTGGGGCAGCACAGGCATCTAAGCAGCCAAAACTTTCCAGAAGCGCACCAGAACAGCCAGTGCGGGCGAGGCGCTGGGAGGACAGAGGTAGCCGCAAAGCCACCTCCCAGAAAAGTAGGCATGGGGTGACTGTCACCCCCCTCCCCGAGTGTGGAAGAGCGTTAGGAAACCTTTCTGGTCCCTGCCATGACCAGCTCTAACTGCAAGCCTCACAGGCATTTCCCTTTTTCTCCTACGGCCAGTCTTACACTGACTTCCAAAGCTGCGTGGCTACCAGAGAAGCCAAACTTGGTGTCTGAATTAAGTCCCCTCCGCCCCACCACCACAGGCTGCACGCAGGCTCTGTCGCTCTTCACTGGGGCACCCTGTGTCCTCAGCAAATAGAACAGGGCCCAGCCTGTGGTCAGTGTTCACAAATGGGTGACTCTCAGACATACTGGCCTCTCTGGGAAGACAGCCATGATGGATGAAGCCTGGTAGGCGAGGACTCTATGTTTATAAATAAAAAACCAGCATGAGACACGAGAAAGGAAGTTGGTGTTTGGGATTGTCACCCAGTGGGGTGGGATCTGGCTGTGTGTCCAAATGTCAGGGAGCCTGCTTGGCATCCTGCAGTGCACAGGAGGGCTCCCCATTACCCAGCTTGGTTCAGCCCAAACTTGTGGGTGCCAAGATGGAGGAGATGGAGGTCACAGTGCTGGAAACGGGGGGTGGGGGCGGGGGGAGCCTTGGAAGAGGGCTCTTCCCAGAGGTTGCCATGAGAACACTAGAGTCCTCAGTGAGAGAGACAAGTTGGCAGATCTTTCCCCAGGGCTGCGTGGACCCACAGAAAGGAGCGGTGGGGTGCAGGAGCAGGGCACACTGTGTGTCTGTCATGGCGTGTGGGTGAGGACTCGCCGAGCCCCAAGCCTTGCCCCCTGCTGACACCGTGTCTCCCGTGTTTGTGTGTGTGTGTGTGTTTGTTTCCCACAGACACCAATTCTAGGGTCTCCGAACCTCTTCGCCACGTCTTTCCGGAGCTGCCCTCAGAGTCAGCGAGCAGGGAGGTGCCTGGCCACATCCTGCTGGCCATAGACAACGACACAGAAAGCACAGCCCTGTGAGGGGCCGACACCCCCCCCCGGCCTCCGCCCTCCACCCCAGGGGAGCCGCTTGCCTTCGAGACCAAACAGCGAAAAGCTTTGCAGTGCAGGAAGAGGGCCCCAGCCACGCAGGAACTGGGCCTTCGCGGGGCCCCAGGAGAGCACCGAGGCCAACACTTGAAGCTGGATGACCTGTGCTAGCGTCTTGAAGAAGTTGGCTTTCTTTCCCCCAGGACAGAAATCATGCCAAAAAAAAAAAAAAAACCCAAAAACAACAAAAAAAGACATACAAAAAAAAATATCCAAACCACAAATACCTAAAGCGGAGAGCATTCGTTACCGCTCGGAAGTGCATAGGAAGCTTTTGTCTGCGCTATTTAATAAAACATGGATTCTTCAGGCCACCTGCTTCCCCGCTACTCGGACTTCCATGCTCATTGTATCTGGAGGAGCCTCCTCTCTCCTTCGGATTTGCTGCCCAATCATCTTTTGTATTAAGTATGGTCTATGTCCCCTCCTCCCAGCCCCCCCATCTTCCCCCACCCCCAGCAGCCATGAGTGCTGAGGGTGACAGCTGGATCTGCCACCCTGCTGCGCTCCAGAGGACTCGGGCCTTGGAGAGTGCCAGAATGTAGACAGAAATGTACTGTGCTTTTTTAAAAAAAAGAAAAACAACAAAAACAAAAAACAATCATGTAATTGCTACTTGATAAGGACCGAATGTTATTCTTGGTTTCATGTTTCATTTGAATTAAATATATTCTGTGGTTTATATGAAAACTTGATATTTCTTGCAGGGGGGGGGGTGTACAGTCACTTAAACCAAATAGAATTGGGACGGAACAGCTTAGTGGGGCTCTAGCTATAACTGTAGGAGATTGAAAGACTAAAACTGCTGTGCCCTCACCAGTCTGGATGCCCCTTTTCTTGGCCTTCTAGGGAGACATGGACTCGGGGTGGTTAGCTCGCAATGATGTGGTGCACATACCTGGCGGGCACCTCAGGAATTCCCTTCACCAGTGATGGGGAGCCTTTGTGCCCCCATCCAAGCCCTGCTTTCCCAAGACTGAAATGCCAGAGACTGAAAATCTAAACCTTGTGTCCAGCTTTCTTTCACATGAATGGGAAAACAACCCTTTGGGCCCAGTGCAGGTGACTCACGCCTGTCATCCTAGCTACTCAGGAGGCTGAGATCTGAGGGTCACAGTTAGAGCCAGCCCAGGCAAAAAAAAGTCCCCATTAAAGTCTTATCTCCAGTTAACCACCAGAAAACCAGAAATGCCACCTGAAATGGCTCAAAGTGGTAGAGTGTTAGTCTTGAGAAAAATTGCTCAGGGACAGTGCTGCAGCCCTGAATTTAAGCTCCATGATCAACCCAAAAGGGGGGGGAAAAAACTGCCCATGAGGATCTTATCTCCTCCAATGAACCAGCAAAAAGCTGGAAGTATAACTGTGGCTCAGTGCTAGCCTTGAGCAAAGATGCTTAGGGACAGCGCACAGGCCCAGAGTTCAAACCCCACAACTGAAAAAGAGAAAGAAAAAGGTAAGAGAAAGAAAAGAAAAAGGAAGGAAGGAAAGGAAGTCAGTCTTTGGGAAGTGGTGCTGTGGCTCAAGTGGTAGAGCGCTAGCCTTAAGCTGAAGAGCTCAGGGACAATGCCCAGGCCCAGAGTTCAAGCCCCACAACCAATAAAAAAGAAGAAAGAAAGAAAAAACAGTCTTTAAATGAAGGCAAACACTGAGCTAATAGAATAACCTTTGGTCTTGTGTGAGAGCATCACCTAAAAACTCAAAGGATTGTGAAATGATGAGGTCCTAGAATGACCAGTGGGCCCAGTAACTCCCTGCCCTCCACCCCCAGGGTTTTGTTTTTTTTTTTTTTGCCAGTCCTGGGGCTTGAACTCAGGGCCTGGACACTATCCCTGAGCTGCTTTTGCTCAGGCTAGTACTCTACCACTTGACTCACAGCACCACTTCTGTCTTTTTCTGCATATGGGGTACTGAGGAATCGAACCCAGGGCTTCATGCATGCTAGGCAAGCATTCTACTACTAAGCCACCTTCCCAGCCATTTCCCCCCACTGCCCCCCAAAACAAACATACAAAACCAGGGTTCTGTTGTCTATTTCTCTTTGAGTTTTCTGGAAAATTGAGGTTCCCTGAAAAGACAACTCCACTTCCCAGCTGGACTGGGCTAGTAAATAGTTCCACCCATCCATGGACTTGTCCCAGGATGGGGGGGAGATGTCTGTCCCTGGGCTTCCCCGAAGGATGCCCTTGCTCCCATCTGTGCACATAGCCCCCAGCTCTCTAACAGCCACTGAGAGATGGCTGGCGCTGCGCTCTGGTTCTGGAAGAGGAGCTTTGGGGGAGACAAGCGTCCTCTGGCTGCTTGTCCAGGGATCACCTTCGTGGCCAGTCAAGCAACAAAGCAGAATTTCCCAAACCAGAATTTGAGAAATGCACACTATTCCCTGATTTTTGTTGTTCTTGATGATACTGGGAATTGAACTCAAAACCTTGAGCCAGGGCAGGCAATGTGGCTTAGTGGCCCAAGTATGCATGAAGCCCTGGGTTCGATTCCTCAGTACCACATACACAGAAAAAGCCAGAAGTGGTGCTGTGGCTCAAGTGGTAGACTGCTAGCCTTGAGCAAAAACAGCTCAGGGACAGCGCCCAGGCCCTGAGTTCAAGCCCCAGGACTGGCAAAAAAAAAAAAGCCTTGAGCTAGTTATGCAGGTAGGTGCTCTACCATTTGAGCCATACCTTCAGGGCCTTTTTGCCTTTTTGTCACTTGTGGGGCTTGGATTCAGGGCCTGAGTGCTGTCCCTGAGCTTTTCTGATCAAGGTTAATGCTCTACCGTTATGAGCCACAGCTCCACTTCTGGTTTTCTGGTGGTTTGTTTGTTTGTTTGTTTTTTGGTCCGGTCGTGGGGCCTGAACTCTGGGCCTGGGCGCTGTCCCTCAGCTCTTCAGCTCAAGGCTAGCGCTCTACCACTTGAGCCACAGCGCCACTTCCGGCTTTTTTTCTTTTTGCTTATGTGGTGCTGAGGAATCGAACCCAGGGCCTCAGGCATGCAAGGCAAGCGCTCTACCACTGAGCCATCTTCCCAGCCCATTTCTGGTGGTTTGTTGGAGATTAAGAGTCACAATCCTCCTATCTTAGTCTCCTGAGTAAGAAGGGTTACAGGTGTGAAGCAACAGTACTTGGCTCCTTGGATATTTTCAGAGGAAGTCCTCCCTTTATTCCTGGGCTAGCCTGGCTTATGATTCCCCTTGTCTCTGGGGATGACAGGTACACACTGTTGCAGCCAGCCCCTGTACTTCCCCCATGAGCTAGGCTGACAGGTGTGCCCTACCTCGACCAAACGTAGGTCGAGATGGAATCAAACAATTGTAAATCCCTGAGCCGACCTCTAATTGTGATCCTTCAGTGTCTGCCTCCCAGGTAGCCAGGATTACAAACTTGAGCCACTGGACCCAGCCCTGATTGTCTCATGGCATGACTGTCTCCTAGACATTTATATGTGGCTTTGTTTCCAAGAAACCAGAGCTAAGGATCTCAGCGAGATGCCTTCGGTGGTCAGCTGATTGCTTTGAGAAAAAAAAAAAAAAGAGCAAAATCTCATGTTGAAAAATGACCCCATCCAACACACTTGAGACCCTCATAGTAAACAAACAAAAAGCTTTTTATTATTATTATTTCACTAAAAAACGACAAGGCCTTGAGAACAGAGCAAGAGCTGGGGCTGCCGGCATCACCTTGCATTAAGCAAAGTAACCCCAAAGGAAAATGGCACAGCTGAGGCAGAGGATGCAGTTGATGTCCAGAAGGGTTTTCACAATGGGGTTCTCCTCGAAGGAAACGATGACAGCTTCTGCTTTGCTTGGGGCCTCCTCCCGGCCTTTGTCCTCCATGCCACACAGCCATAAGATGGCCTTCACCCCTTTGGACCGCTTATGGATGACATCACCTGAGGATAAACCAAAGAGGAAGGGTCAGAGAGAGGAGCTTGTATCTCCCAGTGACAGAGCAAGAACGAGATGTGCTCGTGCTCCAGGGTAAGTACTTCAAGGACCTCTTCCAGCAGGTAGGATCCGCTCTCTGGATCCGTAGATGCAAGCAAACTGGAACTGAAAATACTCAGAGGATCCCAGGCGCTGGTGGCTCACGCCTGTAAATCCTGGCTCTCAGGAGGCTGAGATCTGAGGATCACAGTTTGAGGCTAGCCCAGGCAGGAAAGTCCATGAGACTCTTATCGCCAATTAACTCAGAAAAAGAAAAAGCCAGAAGTGGACGCGTGACTCAAGTGGTAGAGCACCAGCCTTGAATAAAAAGGCTAAGGATCTGCATTCTGGCTGAGTTCAATTCCCAGTACCAGCGTGAAAAAGAGTGTGAGAGAGAGAGGAAGAGAAAGAGAAGGAAGAAAGGAATGAAGGAAGGGAGGGAGGGAGGGAGGGAGGGAGGGAGAAAGGGAGAAAGGAAGGAAGGAAGGAAGGAAGGAAATATTCAGGGGAAAAGACTAGGCCTGCACTGAACATGCAGAGAATTTTTCTTGTCCCCATCTCCTAAACAATATAGTGTCAATAATCTAGAGCTGACTTAAAGTACACTGGAGGGTGTGCCTGGGTTATATAATAACATGATGTCCCTGGATACTCAAATATCCATGGATGTTGGTATCCACATGAATCCTGGTCCCAGTCTCCTCTGGTTCTAGGAAGGCTGGCCTTTTCAGAAGTTCTCCATCTTCCAATGGAGACCTCCAGGCTCAGATTAACTTCTACCTCCTCTAAGTAAACATAGCAGAGGATTGCAGTTCAAAACCAGCCCAGAAAGGACAGTCTGTGAAACTCTGATCTCCATTTAACAACAAAAAGCTGGCAGTGGAGGTGTGGCTCAAGTCATAGAGTACCAGCCTTAAGTGGAAAAGCTAATGGAGAGCAACCAGGTCCTGAGTTCAAGCCCCAGTACTACAAAACCACCCAACAAAACCTAGTGTCTGCAAAGTGGGAAAGGCTCAGACAGGAAACCAGAAGTGGCTAACATCCCAAGTCAGTTCCCTTTTGTGGCTTGTGATCAGATAAAAAAAAAAAATCCTGCCAGGTATCAGCTTGTAATCCTAGCTACTCAGGAGGCTGAGATCTGAGGATCAGGGTTGAAGGCCAGCCAGGGCAGGAAAGTCCATGAGACTCTTATCTCCAATGAACTAACAGAAAACCAGAAGTGGTACAGTGGCTCAAGTGGTAGAGCCCTAGCCTTGAGCTGAAGAGCGTAGGGACAGCGCCTAGGCCCAGAGTTCAAGCCCCACAACCTACTAAAAAAAAAAAATTCCTCTTAACCATGAGCCCTTGATGCTCCTACTAAGGCCGGAGGCAACTCACCGCTGCGGGCTTTAGACTTATTGTCTTGAGCCATTTCCAATTGGATGCTGGTGCTGGTGGCCTCTGGGGTTCCGTTCTGAGTCAGGGTCAGAGGTAGGGCAGTTGCTGGCTGCACCTGGTCCTTCTGGACTATTGGGTCATGACGTGTAAACCAGGTTAAGCGACTGACCTGAGAAGCAGAGACCAACCGTGAGGTACAGGTAGGAGGGGAGGGGAGCCTGCCTCCCGTATCCCCCGCTGCCAGGTTCCTGCCCAGCCATCAGCTCAACCCTCACT